TCTGGTGGGAGCACCGTGTGAGCAATGAGCGTGTTCGGGGTCGCGTATTTGGTGCAGGAAGAGCTAGTGAACCGCTCAGCACCATTACATCACACAACAGGCTCCAATGGCTTGGCGACGTGTTGCGTATGCCAGCACACCGACTTCCGCGACGTAGATTGTTTGCGCGCAGAGGTGCGGTTGGAAGAGGGGTTGAGAAAAATGAAAACCCTCACTTCGGAGCTGACGTCGGTTGGTGAATCCCGACTGCCTGGCTGGGATCCTAAGGACGATGAATACGTTTGGTCGGATACGTTTGCTGATATGGTTAGGAGCCGGACCCAATGGTTCTTGTATTATGAGTTCCTTAGTCCACCCCCCTCCTGCTTAGCCTCGTGCTCCAATCACGATCGCATTCGTTAAGCATAACATAACTCTATTTTTGAGTCACGATAGCCGGCTGTTAGCTCTCCGGTACGAGGTGTATCCGACACTGGGGACTCAGCCGATGTGCCTCCGTTTGGCTTCTTCTTCTGGTTTTTGTGCCGAGGCACAATAGCTGAGGTGTTTCCTACCTGCAGCTAACGTGTATAGTGATGATGAAGAGACTTTACCAAGTTGTAGCTCTGGGGCCAACCACTGTACTCTACACAGTTCGTAACTGGCATGACAATCGAGAATGAGCAGCGCTACTCCGTAGTCAACTGTCAGTCATGCACGTCCGCCGCCGTCATACATGGCTTAGTGGCACAAGCTGCTGGCATAAGGAAGTCATTGGGTCGGAATCCAATAGGGGACCGAGAAACGCACACCACTAACGAGACCCAGAAGGTCGAAAAAGCTGCATGGTGTGTTTTCCAGACGTGTGGGAAACTGCGTGACTAAGAGCGGACTGCGACAAACTACATCTAAAATTCACAAAGACAACTTGGATAAAGGTAATGGAACATAGGTGCTGTCAGCGGTTGGGTACTAACTATCGTGATAACCCTCTGTGAGCCCAAAACTGAGCTTGGGCCACAACCGAAATCCATTATTCAGCTGACAACAAAAGTGCTTTACGTCTCACGTGATGTAGGATCCTTCACACATGTGACGCAATCCTCCATTAAAATACGTTCATAACCGTTCAAGTCCAAAGCACTTGCGTACTATCCTTCACCTCGTGTCGGCAGAAATCGATCAGCTTACAGCCTGTCGGCCCAAATTCGTTCAGCCCCCTCCCATTCGAGGAACCACCATGGTACTCAATGCGGTATCTTACCACCGCCGTACTGACCATGGCAAAGAACGATCTAGAGAATTCATGGGCTACATCAAAAGCACCGACGAGGAACTAACTCAAATAGTTTCCAAAGAAGCCTTGGCAAACCAGTCTGGAATCAGTACGGGGCGTGTGGTATCTCAACCTACTCGATGCCCACTTCAAATTGAGTCCGTTCCGTATACCCAACTTCCAGAATGAAAACCACAAACATGTGTCCAAGTTCCGCCGTCCCAAGCACTACCAGCACCGGCAAGCGGATGCCAACTTCCTGAGATGAAAAGAACACGGTATGTGCGCAGAGCATGCGTTCCAAATTGTTAAGCGAAGTCTATTACAGCAAAACTCTGGTAAGTCGCAAACAACACTTGATCACACCTCGGAGTTGATGTGTCGTAAACCGAAAAGTTCACATGAGACAGTAGCAACGTAATGAACCTTCGATGACTCGGCTGTTTCCAGTGGTGAAGGATAATTTATGAGGTCAAGGTTACAATAGAACGACGAAACGAAGTGTTCACGAACGCATCTTGATGAAGAGCTGCGTGTGGACGGTCAAAGCTTGAATCGCTGTCGAAGACAATCAGGTGCACCTACAATTTTGCAAGTCACGCATTCATCCACGGCAGTTGGGAGACTAGTGGCGATCAATAGTATTAGTATCTATCGTTCTGTATCGTTGTTAACAGACATAGTGGGTCCGTTGCAGCTAATTCGAATACTCCCAAGATCCAAACATTACTGGTGGTGAACCACAGCTCAGACAGTTTTCAGGCCTGTACCCATAGTGTAAATAGGGGCGATGGGTTTCCTCAACGTTATCCTCCACATTTTTCTGATCGACAGCAACCCGGGTCTCACCGAGTGACAGCTTGCCAGACTACACTGATGGTGAATGCTGACGGGTTCAGAGCATATTAAGATTTATCGGAGTACCCAAGTATTGTTTACTCATCCAGTTCACACAGAGCGCCCAAGTACGCGGTTATACAATCACCATCTGACTTCACAGCTTGACAAGCAGTACCAACAAAGCTCGGTAGACCGTCTGTGAAGAAAGTAACAAACAAGCCGAAAACCGGCTGGAATTGTGTTCAATTTGAAGACGAAAACACTTGGAACCGCCTTTACGATTCGTTTTATTCACCGATTGTTACATATACGTCCGAGGCAACCGCCACTAGGGCTAAAGTAAGAAAATTGGTTAAAGCAGGTAATCCTTAGTATCAAGATATTCTTGGTGGACTGAACAACCTGAGCTACCAACATTTGCTTCCATATCGCAGGGTATTCTTGAAAGGATTGATTCTCATGTGTTATAATTGATCCGGTGTCGTTGAAAGTAGTGCACTGGAGAAACACCAGTTCCACTGTGAACAATCGAATAGATCTATCTCGATCAGAATTCCGATCCCACCGCTTCATCAAATTGTGAAAAAGAGAAGGGAGCAGATACAGGTAGTGGCTGTGCATCTCAGCGCACTGACGATGCCACCACGCATGGTGGTGAAACGTTTGCAAACGAATGAGCCAATGAATCACCAACTAGAGCTACCAGTGTCCCGAAACATTTTAGACAGACAGTTAATGAATTCCTTACCCTATCAGAATGAACGGTGGGCGAAAGTGTGGAGGAAAGCGATTCAGTTCACTGTGCGTTCGTCTGTACCCAACTTAATGCGATGGTTTCCGTACCGCCGTGATCCACTAGGTGGTACCTTCGAAGCAACTTAGGAGCTGCACGTACCAACTGCGTCAAGTTATAGGGTAAGAAAAACTCGATCTTGAACATACATATGAATGGCCTCCCGCTTTTAAAATCTGGAGATGGGAGACAGCAGTCGCTTTCATGAGCACAAACCGGTTGGCGGAAACCAAGATATGAGTTCTCTATGAAGGTGAAAGAGCATCACTCTTGTTGACTAGAATATCAACACCTGACAGATCGGGTGCAAACCCACCAAATCTAACCCGCGACTGACTGTGGTCATTTGCGTTTCAAGTCAATGTCGAAAAATGTGTGGCACAAAGTCTACTCCTGTAACATAGAGTGATGCCTGCGGCTGACTTCAAGTAGACTCAAAGAACAGTACGCAGTTGCACGATAAAACCAGATATATTCTTCTTTGCTCAGGTAAAGTCTACTTGTTTTTACAAAACACCGCCGTCAGTAGTTCTCCCGTTTCTTGTTTTCCTTTCGTTTCAAGTTCTCATACTGTTGACAATAATCGCAGCTGCACTAACAAGGAAGCCAAATCAGCTAATAAACCTAGAGTACCATTCCACATGGAGTCTACCAGAGTCGCACATTGTCAGATCATTTGGTATACAATAAACGATGCGGCCATATATTTTCCCGGAATTAACGAATAATGTCCCTGAGGCATATACAAAAATACTTGAAGCTTACAAGCAGCGTAATACTACCAAGGACTCTTGTTACCTATGGCAATGGACTTGGCCTTAGCGAACGTGCGTAGACCGATCTTCTACAATGGATCTCAGTGAATAACCGCAATTGTGCCAATAGACTTCGAAGCTTTATCAGAATTTATAAGCAGTGGTCGAAAACCAGGTGTAAAATATCGTTTCGATGAATGACACTCCTGTTTGCAGCCCGAAGGCGGCTATATAAACTCAATGATTGACTCCACTGCCTTGTGCGAAATATCGCAGATACGGTGACGATCTCGGATGAGGTTCAGAATTATTGCTATTATCATCGGAGGTGGTCTCGAAGCCGACGCTACGCACAGATAACGGTGACTAGTATGTTCAGCCGTCTCGGTCACCACATGAGAAACCCTGTTTCCCACCTACGTACACATTGAGTTGCATGGTGGTCACCACCATCAGATGATGAACCGCCTTGTATTCAAAATGTACTATCAAAAGAACCAAAATTACTGAAGTGAGGCAAGAAGTCTAGATCCGTCCAGAGTTGTCTTCCTCATTACTGGAAGGTGACGGCAATTGGCGCTGATGGGCACAACCGCGTCATTCGACATGGCGGTCAATCGCTTCAGCAATTGAACTAAACAAATAGCGGCAGTGACAAAACTTTAGAAACAACGTAGTACCCAAATGACGATAAGGTAAAATTCGATAACCTCGTGGTTAGGATGCCATCAGTAGCATCGGACAGGCAAGCAGGAATTTGAAATGACAAAAGCCTGCTGTGCCCAATAGCCACGACGTAAAAGCCCGCTGTAGGATGACATGCGAAATAGAACGTGGTGCACTGTATAAGAATAGCAAATAACTTGTTAATTTTGACTAATAGTGAGACAAACGAAAGAGACAGATGCTCTAATCACCCGAGAGTAGAGCTACTCTGAACGGGACAGGCGAGTAGAAGAAAGGCGTCAGAGACGAACCACAAAAAGAATGTACAAAGGGAAGAGTCAAACACATGCTATATAAAATAAAACGTTACCTATCGAACACAACTATATGAAAGGCTTAAGTTCGGGATAGGGCATCCGGCTTGCTCAGAAGACAAATAACGGCCGAACACCAACCGAGAGAAGAGAGATACAAATAGAGCTAATAGATCACATTGGCATTCTCATTAGGAACAACCTACGCGCATGTGACGGAGCGAAGAAAATGCAACAAAAAGATTTTAACATTGAACGGTAAGAAAAACGGGGTTGGCTTGAACTCGAACGAAAGACACAGCAAATTCGCATGGGAGGGGGGGGGGGGAACAAGCGACGGAGAACGTGCGCTGACCACGTCGTGTGTGTGCCTTTGTTCAGGGGTGGAACTCAAGAGAAACCTGGAAGGATAGCTGCCAAGAGGAACAAAATATGAAAAATGCGATAAGCAACGCAAGGGGTGATAGAAAAACACAAGTGAAGAGCTAGAGTTCACGGTTAGCTGAGCGGCGTGATCATCGAGGGAGAAATCACACAGCTCTGGGGGAAGATCTGATACATATCAAGACTCCCAAAAAAGTACGACAGTTGTCTGTGTATACAAAAAACATAGAGCTATAGATTCATAAGCATAAGTGACACACAGTTCTGGTTCCTCTTCACTCAGGGAGCATTGATATGTGGATAGAAACAGATTGCAAACTATAAGAATGGGGGTGGTAACGAGAACTCATGATGGTTGGTTGGTTGCCAAGTGAGAGTCGAGATTTCGTACCAAAAGTGGTCATGCGTTCGGGGCAGAACTCGCCGGAAACAGATACGACATACTTGAACATCCTAGACAGAGCTAGTGTAGAAAAGAATGGTACAAAATATTCAAGGCGATATACAAACGAACTAGACAGCGCTAGAAAAGAAAACAAATTACATCACATCACGCAAATAGGGAGTAGAAGGGATTATCGACTCAAAGATGGTGCGACTACCAACGAGATGGAAGGCAAAGTTGGTTGGTCCTGGAGCAGTGGAGGGTTCGAGCGATGCCACTCCTCGGAGGTAGGTACAAGAGGTGGCGGCGGCATATTGAGAGCGTCCGACGCATCGCAGCTGAAAGCGGTGGAGAGACCATTGCAAGAACTTCGACTAGTCAGAGAGGATTTCGGCTCTATGGGCGATAAAGTAGGAGGACTAAGCTGAGCAAACTTGGGAGAATCTTGCCGAGAATGTTTGGGGGATGACACTGGTTTCTCGGCATCGTTTAAGTTCCAAATGCGTTTGCGTGGAGGGAGAGTGAGTTGATGTACAAGGGATGAGGTGGCGAGCTTCGGCTGATCTGGAAGCGCCCTTGAGGGACACATTGTAATATACTCTCCAGAATAGGAGGATTGCTTCGAGAATTCTTCAGCTATCAAGTCTTGGAGAGAAGCATGCATTGATTTAGAACGCATCTGCGGATGAAAGACTAAAGAATGGCTGTCGTGAAATTGCGAATGAGTTCTCTGTAGCAATGGAGAATTGCCGGAATTGGAGGAGGCTGCGGAGGAGGAGGTGGAAAAGTGCATCACATAGGGGACATCGAGAGTGGATGAACACGGGTTATGCATCGGGAGCAACGGCGGCGGAGGAGGGATCGGGACGACATCGATGTTTTCATCCAGACGGCGCAGCACAGGAGGAGTTTCACTAGGAGAACGTGATGGAGAGGAAGGAGAGCAGGGAATGGAAGGTGGCTGGGGAAGGAGTAGTGGAATGGAACGACGACGGCGAGCGAACTTGTGGGTGTGAGTAAACACGTCGGGAGCATGAGCGGCTGCCGAATGAGCTGGATCGGTTTTGGTCAGTGAAGGAGGAGGTGGTATAACTGGTGTCGCCGAAGTCACGACAGCAGGGCTGACGGTCCCCTTTGGCCGCTTCAACTTTTGCCGGGCACTCTGGGAAACGCAATGGTTTAGTTTCGCTTGATTACTTGAGGGCATATGGGCACCCGCAGTATGATGCAGGGCGGTGGACAGCAAACGTGCAGCCTCCACTTGATGCCGACGAACCAATTCTTGATTAGCTGCGGACAGTTCCGAGATCTGGAGGTGTGGATGGAGGGTGGAACAAAAACAGATCTGATGAGATTGGTGATATACTGCATGAGAATGTCGGAATATTAACGATTGCACAGGAAACAGTCGCAGCCTAAGTAATTGTAGCCGCGTGATGGTTGCCAGATTGGAGTTTAGACTGTTGTTTGATGCGGTAAGAACTGCGGCGCATGGCTGCAAGTTAGAAAAACAAAGAGACTCAGAATAGGAAAGTGGAGGTGTAGTGATTAGTTGACTGATTACCGCAGAGCTTTGGTTATGTGATGGTGGGAGCAAGGAGAGTTCAAAAACGTTAGAATCAAAAAAATCTCAGCAGTTAAGGGTAGTAAATGGGTTAGCACATGTTTTTCAAACTGATGACTCTTCGAGGGTCCCACTTGTTATCAAGATGGCTCCACAGGACGATAAATTGAAATATATATATATATATATATATATATATATATATCGAGAGAGTTCACTGTGAGATGAGGCTTGTGGTGGTTAGATCCTGACAGACCGTCGACTCGCTGCTCCCAATGTCGTGCAGTGGACTGAAGTTCTTTAGGCTTCTTCGTGGTGACCGCTGGGCGGGTTGGGTTACACCCTTCTCCGCGTGAGACCGTTCAAAGACCCATGAGGCACGGCGCGCTATCGTATAGGTGCATACTCCATCTAAGACCTCGGCAGAGAAACCGAGTCGTTCTACTAACAGGTGTGGACGCCTTGGCAGTATCTTAATCCAACCCTGCCTAACTATGAATCACACCAATACTAACAAATCTATGCTGCATCGGCCGTCGCACAGTGGCACTAGGGAAAGGGTCGCATTATCTGATGCATACAACGGGGTGGATAAGCGAACAGATGCTGCTGCTGGCACCTCCCTTCTTTCCCTGCACATTCCCCGTCCTCGCTTCACTCACTAGTTGCTGCCATCTCTCCGACTGCTCGTCAACGCAATCGTATGCCTCTGCGCAAAGCATTCAACATGGGATGCTAGAACATGCGCACACTGCTCGACTGGAATACGAGTGAGCATCCCGAACGACGCACTTGCAGTGGCCGCAATGGAACTCGCGCGGTACGAGATTGACATCGCCGCACTCAGCGAGACTCGGCTCGCTGACCAAGGCAAGCTGCATGAGGTTGGTGCTGATTACACGTTCTATTGGGTGGGGACGCCACCTCAGCACCAAGTGAACATGCGGTCGGATTTGCATTATCCGACCGCCTAAACGGCCAGCTTGTGGCAGAGCCAACTAGCATCAGCTCACGACTGATGACACTCCGACTGCAACTTGGAAGAGGTAAGTTTGCAACTTTTATTAGTATGTTCCCATTATGTTATCCTGATGACACAAAGGGTCCGTTTTACGTTCAGTTATCCTCCGTGATGCGGTCTGTGCCGAGGAGCGATGGACCATTCTTACTGGGCGTGATGCTACAGTGTGGACAGATGTAGTCAGTCCATATAATATTGACACAGTCAAAGGGAACGGTGACCGGCTGCTCCTATTGTGCGCCAGTCAAGGCCAGACGATCACGCACACAGTTTGCACTGTGTGCGAGTAATGTAGCTACTTGGACGCACTCACGGAATGGTCAAACTCAACTGCTGGACTACGTCATCGTACGACAGCGTGACATGCGTGAGGCTGAGGGTGGTACTGATCAAAAGTTGGTGAGGACCAAATTGTACATGTATCTGGGTAAAACTGTGTATTTCTCACCTGCCGCAGACCGGCGCAAATGCAATGTTCGTTCCCTAGGTTCTATCGAGAAAAGGATGGAATTACAGTAGGCGATGGCTACCCGCTTTGTTGATGTCGAATCCATAGCCTCAGTGAGCGACCTGAGGCACTATATTCGTGAACAGGTGACGGATGCTGCCGAAGAAACAATTAGGCGAGCAAACTATAAGCGGCCAGATTGGTTTAATGGCAACAGTGTGGCCATTAGTGCATTGGTATCGGAGAAGAATGCAGCGATCGCTGCACAGGTGGCGGACCCTGCTAACTGCGAGGAGAGTCATTTCCGCCCACACCGACGGCGATTGGCTCGAGAGCTCCGCCGAATCAAGAATGCATGGTGGACAGAAAAGGCGAAGCAGATGGAATGCTACGCCGAACGCCAACATAAGGGATTCTTTGACACATTAAAGGCGGTGTATGGACCCACGAGATTTGCTATCTTGGGAGCGTATTACCAACCGACCTGCAGATGACTGGCGAGCTGCGCAGCCGCGTATCGAAGGCATTTGGCAAACTGGGATATCCTGTGTGGAACAACCACCAGCTAACTGTCGGGACGAACCTGCTGGTATGGGGTGCTGTCCGTCCTTCTATACGGCAGCAAAAGCTGGACGCTTAAACGAAACGATGTCCGGATCTGAAGCGTTTCCACCGCTTTGTGTACCTCTGGTACACATTATTTCCCATTTAGGTATGGATACTCCCGCCCTGCTTGTTGAATAGTGTGGGCTGGCTCCGTTGATGAAACGTGGCTCCCATGCACAAGCCTTGTTCTTCGGGTTTACACTATATATATATATATATATATATATATATAATGTAAATGTATATATATATATGTATTGGGGAATGCTTTAATTTAACCGAATTAGGAATGAAGCAAAATGTTTCTATAGAACCTACGATGGGACTGACGATATCACACATTCCCCCTGGACACCAAACAACAGCCGTACTTGACATCTGTGGTTAACACGTGCGATGCGAGCAATAGAACGGCAAACACTGTGCTCACACAACTCCTCAGGTCCTCAATACAGCGTGTCACAAAACTGACGCGAAATACGCTCGCGAACAATTGGTATGCGAACAGGCTATAAGCAACAGATGTCCGAACTCACAGAGCAAGTCCCCTGGTAATTGTCATGACGCCGAAAAGAACTACATTCGTGGACTAACCATAATGCGACCTCGGCAGTACGCCAGAACGCAGTCTCGACGTTTTGCTGCCGAGCAACCACCCTCGGTCGCACGTGGACTACGGATACTGCGATGGTCGCCCGTTTCTTTACGCACGCTTGAACCCGCGCTCTCGGATTACAAGGCAGGGTTGTGACCCTTAAGTCCACGGGCCAGCTACCGGCTAACCATAATCAGAATTGATATTTTACAGGGGTCGTTAAACAGGAAGCATACACATCACCAAATTTAAATATTATTAACAACATATATACGAGGGCAGGAAATCTCTTAGCAATCGTGTGAGGACTGTACACATAAGGCGACAATCGAACGGAGAGGCACAGCGGCTTCGAGGAGCTGTACATCCATACACCTTCGTTAGACTAGGATGGTAAAGCTTGCATCATCAGTTAAACGATAATAATTAAAATCGATGTGGGCAAGCACACGGCTCCGGAATGCGTTGAGATATGGTACCCATCATTGGGTCAGCGAACTCGATTTTGGCGCAACTTATATAGGGGTCAACTAGCATTACAGATATTGATTTGTATGCGATTATGGAGGCAATTACATAGACGGGACAGAGACGACAATGAATTGTCTAAATCCAGGAACAGCTACTAAAGTGGGTTCAGCACGAGACTGTGCAACAAGCAAGAACAACTCAGGCGCTGTGCTAGCGCAGACCGCCAACCATTTCTATCCGCTAGCGCCTATTGACCTCAAGTCACCGGATTGAGGTCAGTTTAGTGTTCAAAATCTTGCTGTCTCGTGTGAAGTACCGGTTGTCGCGATAAATCGTTTCAACAAAGATTTTGCGTTAGAAGACAACTACTGGATAGTCATAGGTCGCCCTGGACATTTGGAGCGAAGCTTCCATGTTTGTTTTTACAGCTGAAGTTGTAGTTAACGGCACTGAAATAAAGATAAGAAATGTAGGCATCTGTCAAATTTCGTCTTCGCATAAGCAGCTTTGATATGTGAACGTCGGTAACAGGTTAAGCCATTGATTCCCTTGGTGTTTCAAGCAGATTCCATGGCAACAGCGCAGCGCACTTGTACTACAGGGGCCGATGACGCATCTGTTGCACTTTGACACTACAGTCAAGCTATGATTGAGCGATATCTCAGGCTCGGATGCGAATGTTGACAAAGTAGCTACTTGTCCAATACACATGTTCGTCCCTCCATCAGGCTCGAAGTGTTTTGACTACGTAGAGTTACGGTCTAACCAACAGAACGGGATTCCTTCCATGAGCGATGTTACGCGAGACAATCGTGATCGCTTTGTAGGTGCGGCCTCGCTGCGGCTGCGACCAATCACAAGGACAGTGACAAATAAATCTGGAAACGGATGAGGCCAATGCGGACAGACACACTCAGCAGCATCGTGCCACACTGTAGAGTATACACGCCAAAGGTGAGTGTGGCCATATGCAAATGACTGATGAGCAACGGGGGCCACACCAGGCGAGGATATTTCACACCGCAGGAGGCACGTATGTGACCGACGACAATGAGAAGAGTATACAAAGGAAAGGAATCGCTGAGTATGCTTATCCGAGGGGGGTGGTATGGTGCGGATGGCAGTTGGTGCTCGACCGCGAAGCTATCAAGCGCTTATCGGTGCAGGTAAGAGTAGTGGCATACCGTGGACGCAAATCGCGCGCACACTACAAAGGACACATTTAGAGTGGTGCATCGGGGCGTGAAAACATGACCGAAATTAGCTAATCTACCCAAGTTGCGATTCAGTAGGTGGGCGCTGTCAATCTGGCTAATGAGGCAGTGCGCTAAGTGCCTTAGATCCATTCCACCGAGATGCGCGGATGTTCAATCCAGACACAGACACCATAGCTCGGCCAATAATGCGATAAGCTAGTGGTTGTTCCCTGGGCAGTGGGCAGATGGTGTGATAACCATAGGAGTTAGGAAAGTTAGGATAGCCAGTGTCATGTGCCGGCCGGT